CTCCCTCCAGCTCCCTGTGGGGCAAGGAATCACTCCAAACTGGGCCATTTCTTTTCCACCTGGCAGCAACCCCCTGCCACCCCCCTTAGCAGATCCCCCTGGTGTTGCAGAGGGATCTAAGGAGACCCTCTCAGGACTCACCCATCTCTCCAACCCACCTCCCTGCTGCTCTGCAGCCCCCATGTTTGCAGGGCTCACTGTGGTCAGCATATGCACCCTGGGCAGATTTTCCTCCAGGATCAAATGTTGGTCTGGTTGAGAAAACAAATTTTGGTCTGGTTTAGAAAACAAATTTTGGTCCGGTTTCTACATATTTAATTCCTCCTCAAAATTAGGTAGTTCCAGGTTTTTCCTGGAATCCAAAATGCCTGTTTTTTGTGTTCACTGAGTTGGGTTTTGTAAACTGCATGGGCAGCAAGAAGATGCAAAGGAGAAAATCCAGCAAGTGGCCACTGAGGATGCTGAGGAGCAGCTGCCCGAGGTGGATGCTTGGATGAAGTACAGGCACAAGTTGCTGCTCAGAGCAAGGGCCACACCTTTTAGCATGTTCACCACAGGCCACTGAGGACCAGCTCTTTGACTTAAACCTGGACAAGTATCACTTACCTGCTTTATTTCTCCCGAGTGCTCCACAAAGTTACACTGAAGACCTGAATACCTCTGGCTTTTCCACTCCTCTGGGCAGCTGGACTGGCTGAAGCAGCAGCAGCTCCACTGTGTTCCAGTGCTTGGGTTTGACCACCGTTTGAAGAGCAGCCTTTCAGCAACAAGGCGTGTTGACCCTGGAGAGGTGTGGAGCTCAAGTCATCTCCTCCCCACAGCCCCGTGGAAGTGGCAGCTCTGGGCCCAGCAGTGGCTGCAGGAGGTGTGATCTGGGCTTCTCCAGAAGGTGTGAGGGACACGAGGCGAGGCAGCCCAGCTCTGCTTCAGACTTGGCTAAGAAAACATGTGGAAGAAACGGGGCTGCCCTGTGCCCGGCATCACAGCAGTGCTGGGCGAGGTCTGTCCTGCTCCTCTGGAGGCAGCTTCTCCCCGTGGGGCCTCCTGGAGGTGGTGAAGGGCTGCTCAGCAGAGCCCAGGCCCAGGCTCCCCACACAAGGCGCTGCCCTCGCCCCGACCCTCGCTGGGCTGCCA